AGGATGACGGAGAGTCCCCCTGGGATGCGGCTGGGGGCCCGGCGGGCCTAGGATGGCTCAGGTCTGACCTGCAGCGCGGCCGGATTAGTCCCACTGGCCGTGCCCCGGTGAGCCCTCGGCTGGGAGCCGGGCGGCCGCTCTGTCCCCGTGCGGAGAAAGGGGAAGGCAGCCGGGAGCCGGGGCAGAGGCGCTGCCAGGCTGGGCGGGGGCTGGAGGGTCTGTCCTAGGAGAGGGGCCTGGGAGCTTGGGGCGTTTGATGGCGGGCTGTGGGGGGGCTGAGTGCTCGCAGTAACTGCACTGGGGGGGGTAACTCCCCCGGGGGGGGCGTTGAGATAGTTCAGCCCAAGGACCCCGGGAGCACAGACCAGGCCGGACACTAGACAGTTTCTACCCATGGGAGGGGAGAGGTGCTGGGGGAGGGGCGATAACTAGTGTTACCAGAGAGCTGGACAAACTGACGGGGGGGTGGGAGGGGCTTGTGATGGGGCTGGACCGGGACAAGGGCAGGGGCCAGACTCAGCAGCTCCGGGGTCACGGCTGGTTTACGTCTCACGTTGCTAATGCTCATGCTTCAGGGTCTCAGCCAGCTGCCGGCAGGGGTCAGGAAGGGATCTCTTCCCCGCTCCCCCATATATTCTCAGTGTTTTTTCTGCGAAGCATGGGGGGTGGCCTGGCTTGGGGCTGGGCACCGGACGGGGGGGCCTGGGCTCTGCGTGGCTCCGAGTGTCTGTCTCTCTCTCTCGCAGGTGCTGGGCTGGCTGGTTCTTGCTCACACGCCCAGTGTCCAGCCGGTCGCCACGTCTGGGCTCAAGAAGGTTTTTCCCCCTGGTCAGACTGGCAGGGCCGTGGGGGATTCCCCTCCCCCTGCAGTATGGGGCAGGTCACTGGCCGGGGGTCTCTGAGTCTCTCTCACTCCATCCCCCACCCTGCTGCACCTGGTCCCTCCAGGCCCCGCCCGCGGCACAGAACGGGCTGGGCCCCTGGGGGCCATGACACTTTGCTCTGACTTCAGGCGCTGGGTGGACCTGGCAGGTGCTGGGGGGGCTGGTGGCCGGTGGGACGCAGGAGCTCAGACTGACAGGCTGGTCCATCCAGCCTGGCTCACTGACAGCAGAGCCCCCGGCTCGCCCCCCTCTCCTGCAGTCCCAGACCCCACAGCTGCGCTGGGTCCCCCAACGGGGGCACACATCCAGGGCTGGGTTTGGTTCCTGTGACAGACCCACGGCAACCGCTCTGGGGATACACCTCGGGGAGCCTCTCCCCCTGCTGTGGGATCCCAGCGTCTCTCCTCCAGCCGCTTCCTTGGCCCCTGGCTGGACCCGAAGGCTAAGGGGGGCCCCTCCCCCCCAGGCTGGATGCCAGCCTGTCCCAGACGCCCCCCCGGGACTAGTGACCCCCCAGGGCGGGGGGGGGGTTAGTGAACTGAGCAAAGTGGCTGTAAAAGAGCAGGTGGATCTGACACCCCCAGCAGAGACCCCCCCCCCACGATACA